TTACTTTTAGGGGTAGAATTGAAAAATAACATTTTTTGAAAAGTTTCTAGCAAAATAACATTATACATTATTTTCAGGAGTTAACGACTTTTTCCCACCCAAATAATGGTGTAATGACACTTTTCCACCCACAGACTTTTAAAATATTACTTTATTACCCAAATTTATATTTCGATAGCGAACAAAGAGCAAACTTGGTCTAGGTTGTTAGGTTTTTGAAGAGGGGAGGCCGATGAGTCTTATAGTGGTGGAAGGTTGGGTTTTGGTAGTTGGAATTGATCGGAATTTGACTTGGGAGGGACAACTGTGTGAACCCTAATCCCTTGATTGCTGACAATTGGCAGGATTGGTGGGAGTAGGGTTTGAGGGGTTTTAGTGAGTGATGATCGGGGAAGATAATGGTGGTGTGTGGGGTCACAACGATTACGGAATCGGAAACGAAATATAAATTTAGAAAGTAAAGTGGTATTTTAAAAGTCTGTCGGTAGAAAAGTATCATTAAGTCATTATTTGGGTGGGAAAAACTTGTATACTCTTATTTTTAGTGGCGAAAATATCTCTTTTTACAAATCCTTCAGCCTTCAGGGCCTTTTGGCAAATAATTTAAATACAGTTTTTTGTTTTTGAAAACAAGGGATATAACAAATTTTAAGAGAATGCATTTAGTAAAAATGAGTAGAATTGTTTTCAAAATCAGTTTTCGAATACAATTCTAAAAACTAGTGTAAAATTAAAAAACAATCAAAAGTTGTTTTCACAGTTTTCTCAGACATTTAATTTGAAAACATTTTTTTTTAGTTTTATATCAAATGCATTTTCAAATATTAAAATACAACTCAAAAAGTTTGAATTGTATTTTAGTTTTTGAAAATTATTTTTGCATCACAAATCAAATAGACCTTGATGATTTAACCAAAACCCATTTTTCAGGCCTTAAAACCCATCTAACTGGTTCTCCAGAACTAATGTTTTAAAACCCAACCCGGGATGAAACCCGGCAAAGCTTCTAGGTCCCGGGTTGACCCGTTGATAAAAACTTTTAAAATTCAGCAAATATACCCCTAAAAATCACAGGTAAGTCCCTATAAGTTTGAAATTTATCAAACACACCCCAACTGCAAATCGACCGGCTACTGATTAGCGGTGGCGACACCCCAGATGCAACCCCAATCGTCCCTTGAGCCCATTTCCATCAAAATATACCCAAGATCTGGCTGAAATAAGTTCGATTTCGGCCAGATCTCACCGACGTTGACGTCGGCATTCCAGGCCAGATCCTATCGATTCCGGCAACAACAGCCCTTCCCATCACCCTAGAATTACTCCCCTTTTCTTCCTGACCAAAACCCCCTCACCCCACCCCCGTTAGCCTCGTAAATCGCCGAAAAAATCTCATCATTGTCACTGCCAGTTTTGTTCGATTTTCGGTCTATTTACTCACCGGAAATCAAATCTTTCACCACCATTACATTCATCGGAAATAGCTCTTCAAAAGCCCCAACATTGCAACAGTTAATTGTTCACCGATCATCACCGAAAATCCTAGGGTTTTGGGTGAATAGGAAAAAATTAAACCCAGCCCGTTGAAACTTTCGGGTCCCGGTTGAACCGGCCGGGTTTTAAAACATTGTCCAGAACTAGAATCCTTACCAAATCGAAGGATGGTGTCCTTTAATATAATTTTTCCATTAAAAAAAAAAATTATGTAATTTAAAAGTCTGAAATATGAAAACATAAAATCATGATGGATGCAGAAATTTCCAAAATAAAAACTAATTGCATATAACATATTCTACTTTTCTAGTTGAAATTGTCACGAAAAGAAAAAAAAATTACATATTAATATTTTTTTTTTTATTTGAGGGTGTGCCAACATACTCTGATTTGCCCCTCCATAAAATAGATGTTTTTTTTAGTCTTCTCTCCACTTTATTTTTAATATTGGTACATGAAAATTATAGTAAAAACATCCTTAAAATTTTGAATTATTTTTGAATTCATTTCTAAAAACTAAATTAAAAAAATAATGCCACCTAAAATATTTCTTTTATTCCCTTAATTTGATTGCATGTATGATTATGGTTTAATCAGCTTATTTACACATATCAATAACACAAAAATACAAAAAAATTATGATCATATCAATGCATTAAAAATACATTTTCTTTTTTCATAAATAAATTATGTAATTAATTTTTTTTTTTTTTGGGTCTTTAATATATTTCTTTATTACATACATTAATCCTCTCCATATCTTATATCCTAATCAATACCCCTCTCTTTATACAAAATATAACAAAATTAAAGTTTGCACTAATTTTTTACATTTATTTTTTTTGGTCCTATTAGGTCAATTATACTTAAATAAAAAAAAAAGAAATATGAAAAAAATAGATTAATTAAAAATAATAATAGATAATGTTATTGTTAACTTACCAACTACAGACATAAGTTGAGTAGTTGAGAAGAACAAAACGGGGAATCATCAATTTATCATCTAAACAAAACAATGGTAACAAAGAGTTTTTTTTCTTTTTTTTTGTTTTGGTTATGCCTAAAATAAAGGTTGAAATATGTTGACGTCATCAAACACCAATCAGAATTTAGGAAACCATTATACTGTCTAGAACATGACACGTCTCCAAAGACAAAAAAAATATAGCTGTCAAAGATCCAAAATGACTCAAGAATTTGTGCTTGAGTGAATTTGGTTCGTACACTTGTCCAAGTCCCATTTAATTTGATGATATACTTGAAGTTCTCAATGAATGAGAAGGCAGGAAGAATCTTCACGACACTAGGTCACTTGCAAAAATGTAATAATTATCTTGAGCTAAATAGATATAAATAGACGCTCTTCTTTATAAAATAGAGGTTAGGCACACACGCATTCAACAAAGAAAATAACAAAGATACGCAACTAGAAAAAGATTGGTTTAACATTCTCTTAGAGTTCACAAACATAAACACTTGTAATCCCAGATCACAGCTCATGAATTCTTGTAAGCTTGTCTAGCTATCAGAAAATAACTTTTATATAAACGAACATAGTAAATCTAGAAGTCGCTTTAAGTATCCGAACAATTATAAAAATCTTCTTATCAACTTTTATTTTACGTCTTAGCATGCTATTGTAATCACTATATCTCATTCACTTATTATAATCATCTCACGTATAATTTTTTAGCATTTTACATATACGTTAATATCAAAATTAAGTATCAACAATTTTATTATTTTATTTTTCCATGGAATAAAATTTGCCTGCCTTGATACTCAAGGTTGGCTTGGCCCAAAAGAAGAAAGAGATTTTGTTACATTGATTCTCTAAATGGTATTCTATAGGTTTCACGTTAACTTCAAGTGACGTAGTTATTAAATTCCTTNGGTCTTTAATATATTTCTTTATTACATACATTAATCCTCTCCATATCTTATATCCTAATCAATACCCCTTTCTTTATACAAAATATAACAAAATTAAAGTTTGCACTAATTTTTTACATTTATTTTTTTTGGTCCTATTAGGTCAATTATACTTAAATAAAAAAAAAAGAAATATGAAAAAAATAGATTAATTAAAAATAATAATAGATAATGTTATTGATAACTTACCAACTACAGACATAAGTTGAGCAGTTGAGAAGAACAAAACGGGGAATCATCAATTTATCATCTAAACAAAACAATGGTAACAAAGAGTTTTTTTTCTTTTTTTTTGTTTTGGTTATGCCTAAAATAAAGGTTGAAATATGTTGACGTCATCAAACACCAATCAGAATTTAGGAAACCATTATACTGTCTAGAACATGACACGTCTCCAAAGACAAAAAAAATATAGCTGTCAAAGATCCAAAATGACTCAAGAATTTGTGCTTGAGTGAATTTGGTTCGTACACTTGTCCAAGTCCCATTTAATTTGATGATATACTTGAAGTTCTCAATGAATGAGAAGGCAGGAAGAATCTTCACGACACTAGGTCACTTGCAAAAATGTAATAATTATCTTGAGCTAAATAGATATAAATAGACGCTCTTCTTTATAAAATAGAGGTTAGGCACACACGCATTCAACAAAGAAAATAACAAAGATACGCAACTAGAAAAAGATTGGTTTAACATTCTCTTAGAGTTCACAAACATAAACACTTGTAATCCCAGATCACAGCTCATGAATTCTTGTAAGCTTGTCTAGCTATCAGAAAATAACTTTTATATAAACGAACATAGTAAATCTAGAAGTCGCTTTAAGTATCCGAACAATTATAAAAATCTTCTTATCAACTTTTATTTTACGTCTTAGCATGCTATTGTAATCACTATATCTCATTCACTTATTATAATCATCTCACGTATAATTTTTTAGCATTTTACATATACGTTAATATCAAAATTAAGTATCAACAATTTTATTATTTTATTTTTCCATGGAATAAAATTTGCCTGCCTTGATACTCAAGGTTGGCTTGGCCCAAAAGAAGAAAGAGATTTTGTTACGTTGATTCTCTAAATGGTATTTTATAGGTTTCACGTTAACTTCAAGTGACGTAGTTATTAAATTCCTTAATTTTGACTATACTATGTCTTATTAATATTTGTATAAAATATAAATTTTATCATTGTTTTAACTAAAAAATAACACAAGGGAACTTTAGTCTATTAACTAAATAATCAATGGTTTAAAGATTGTTAAATTTAATTATAATTATCAAAACAGAAAGAGATAAGGATGGGTAGACAGATATTTTTTCTACCTATTAATAGACAATATAAAGATGATTTGAATGATGTTTTACCTAAGTAACAGAAAACTATATTAATTTAACTTTATTGATTTAACCATGCTTCCAATGGTTGATAATGACTCCATAACTACCTAATCGGTCAATTAAGAGAACAATTTATTTACTGAAATTTGTAATAAATTATTAGGTAATTTATATATATATATATATATATATAATTACCTATTTAAGAAATAATTTATTTGCGGATCCCGGTTTCGCTTTCCTTCCCGCAAAAACTGACTTATTCTCTCCGCTTTCTAAAGTTATTGTCTTTTTTTTTTTTTTCTCTTTCTAAAACGAAAACTAAAATTATTATTAAATTTTATAAATTTAAAGCTAAAGCTATGCAGATAAATTCTGTACAAATACAATCCTCCTGCAACGCTATTATAGCTTCCTCTTAGATCGAATCAGGTTCGTTTATTGCTTTCATCATCATCATATTCATCTTTGACTGTTGAAATTCTTTTAACTCTGTGAATTTTAATACGAATGAATTCATATTTTTTTCCGATTGATTACACGTCATTCAGAATTGTAAGTTGAATTGTATTATTAGGGTTTCGTTTCGTGAATTTTTTGTCTGCCGATGTTAATCGTGTTTTGGTCAATGAAATCTATCATTTTAATATAATCGCCATTTTATTTAACATTTATTGTTTTGTGTTTGATAGTTTTTATTTTTGGTTTTAATTAATTCCTATGTGATTTTTTCTTTGTCGAATCAAACACAAATTATAGGTTTCTTTTTTTAAAATTGTTGATTAGTTTTTTCTATTTTGGTTGATTGATGAGGGGATTTATTAACTGCAGCATATGATTAATTAGATTGGTTTTTTGTGTTCTTGCAGGTATAGTAGATTTGATCTTTGGAAGTTTGGAGGTTAAGTTTGGTAAATCAATGCAGGTGGGGGCCAACTTAACATTTGTAACTCCCTAATTGGTGCCTAATTTTGAGATTCTTTCGATCAGAAAGTCATGGTGATTTAGTTGTAATGAATATCCGAGAGTTAGGTTGTGGTGAAGAGGCTATATTTATAATTATAACCAATGGGGGTGAGCTACTTAGCAATTTCAGCTGTTTGTACAGTTTTAAGTTTTGTAGGTCTTCAGTGGTGGACAGAGTTTTCATTACATAAACTAAGAACAGATGGGTTAATCGGTGAGAATTTGGTTGACTTGGAGAATGCCAACCATGCCCTGGAGTTGTTCTTGGGTTCGTATGCCACAGTTGCATTGCTGGCAAATTTTGCGCTCAATGTTTTTATTCTACTTATTCTTTGTCTCAAGGTATGTTGGTTTTTGTGATTTGAATTTTAGTATAAAATGCTATTACAATCATGATTTCCTGATCATACAAGTTTGCGTGAAGTGGCATATGCTTAGTTAAACAAAGTGCAAAAAAAGGATTTAGTCAAGAAATTTATTTTGGCAATCCGTTGCTCTAGTTTTTGTTTTGTTATAAATTAATTCTCCTCTGGTTCACTCACCATAATAATTCTTTGGTATTTACACGTCTAATTTGTTCCAGAGTCGTAGCTTCAACACTTACCACCAGAAGCATAAGTCAAAGTATGACACAAGATGTTGTTACATATATGTGACTAGCTGACTACATATAGAACAGCAGTTACTACAATACAGCAACATGCAGTTTTTGTGTCTGAAAAGAGTACCAATTTTTATACACACTACATCTCGTTGGTAACTGCATCCAATCTCAAAAAAATCCCAATTGTTTAAAACTTTCTATTAGTCAATTTTCAACTGAATGGAACCTTGTATCCTATACACCTTTGAGGTGTACACACTCTGTACAACTTCTGCTTACCTGAATGGCTCTCCTAAAAGCCTCTAAGAAGCATAATTGGATGCTGTGAAAAAAATTCCTCTTAAGCTTCATGATCACTTTGCTCTCATGTATAACTGAAAGTTGATTATAAAAATAGCTGTAATATATGAAAATGGATACCATGAGGATGCTAGTGACATATTATGTTGGGTATTGAGAATGATTGGGCTTTATATATGGAGCATGTTGGTTTGTAGAACATTTCTCTCTTCTGGGTTCTCTCTAAATAGAAGATTAGGGTTTTGATATTTTATTTGCTTCTCTTCTCTTTTCACATGTTTCACTCATCTTCCATACGTTTGATCTATATCTCTATAAGGACTGTAACTGTACCATGCCACATGGGTCCCTCTTCTTCTTCTTCTCTTTTTTTAAATATATATCACGTAACTAATAATTTTGTTGATAAAATTTAGATCGATTCTTGTTCTTCTTCTCTTTTTAGATATAGATTGGTTAACTCATGATAATGTTGATAATTTTTTTCCTATCAGTGTTGTTTTAATGGTTTTAATATCTGTTTTCCCCTTGCAGACTATATTCTTTGTAGAGTTGTATCCTTCTGAAACTCGTAAATTTGTGGAACGTCTTATCAACTATGTCATTTACAAGGTGAATATTCCTTACTTCCAATTAGTCGCAAAATGTATGAATATGTGTAATTAGAATTTTGGACTCTGAAGTTTACAAATAGTTCATTGCTGGTTCTTTTTCTTCATTTGCTACAGAATTTAATAAATCATAAGTATAATTTAGGAGTGTTAGAGTAATTCATAGGAGAAAATGAAGTTTGTTGATCTGCCAAATTCTGCTAGAATTTATACAACAAAAAAATGTCTTTTGAGGTAGATATGGATACGGAACTGCTTAGATTACTTTAGTTCAGTAAAGTATCACATTCTCTTGGGAGAACTTGGATTAGGGAATTCAACAATCTGTGAACTTCTCTGTCCTCGTTAGCATACATCAGTAGTGAGAAAGCTTTTGGACAAGAATTAATTAATGAGAGATGGGTATCTTCATCAGTTGATGTAAATGTGCCCTTAACTTTTGCTAGTGGGAATTTTATATGTTTTTTTAATTTTTTTTTAATTTTGACAAGTTATGTAAATTTAAGATGGTACTTTGCAGACTGGGATCTATTCTCTAATGTGAACAGTAATTAACTTTGATTCCAGCTGCTCGCATCATCTAATAGTGAAGAGTTCTCTGTGAAATGGAAAGTGCTTATATTCAATGTCTCATTGTCGTATACAGGAGACCTAGAATATAAGCACCCAGCTTTAAAACTACTATTTTATCATTTATTAAGCATCCTCAGACTTGTGCTAAGTACTTTGTGTTTGTTCACATCTGCTTGTGTATAAGTATGTTTGTTTTTGTTTGTGGATACAGCAAAGAAATTTTAGACAGAGAAATAAAATGTGAGATTGGTAATGTCAAGGTTTTTTCGTTTCTCTTTTCTTTTCAAATGGAAGGTTGATGTCATTAAGGTATTCTTTGGGTACTTTGAGGCCTACAAAACAGTGTATATATAAGTGCTTTTGAGATGCTGTAAACCTACTTTTGGTTGGCTTTAATTGTGTTGGTCATTCAGCATGGAGGAAAATCTTATCGGGAGGGGTTAATGATTTTTTTTTTTTTTTTTTGTCACAAATCAATGTCTTGAAGACATTTTACGAGGGAAGATTGGATATATAAGATGAGAAGTTGTTGATCATATTTGTAAAAGATATTGAGATCTGCTTTTTGAGAGAACGGTTTGGCACTATATATTATGGCGAAGAAGGGCTCTTTGGCTGATTTAGGAGCTTCCTGGTTCTTTATGCTGTTTTGCAAGTGATGGATTTTATATACCCTTATTTTTTTATTGCAAACAGCTCTCTGGTTTTATAATTTGATCACTACAATGGTGCTGGTTGTTTTATCTTATCAATTTAGATCTTGTTCGGTGATTGTATGATCTTCTATGATGATGATTTGACTTTTTATAATTTTCTGACAATTGAAGATGTTAAGACTTAAGTCATGTACGAAGTGGCTGTGTATAATCTCAATTATCTTCAAAAATATACTTTTTTTGCTAAGATTTAACAGTTCTATTGTTCTATGCATATCATTGGATATTGAACAGGGAACATTTCTACCGCTTGTTGTTCCACCAACAGTATATCAAATGGGCTTGTGGTCAATTTGGTTGACAGTCTTATGTTCTTTAAAGGTATGTGATGCAATGGACTTCAATGGACATTCCATTTAACTAGTGTAAATTAAAAACAATCAAAAGTTGTTTTCACAGTTTTCTCAGACATTTAATTTGAAAACATTTTTTTTTAGTTTTATATCAATGCATTTTCAAATTTAAAATACAACAAAAAAGTTTGAATTGTATTTTTGAAATTATTTTGCTCACAAATCACATAGACCTATCATTTAACCAAACACCATTTTTCAGACCTTAAAACCCATCTAACTGGTTCTCCATAACTAGAATCCTTACCAAATCGAAGGATGGTGTCCTTTAATTTATTTTTCCATAAAAAAAAAAATTATGTATTTAAAATTCTGAAATATGAAAACATAAAATCATAATATACAGAAATTTCCAAAATAAAAACTAATTGCACATATATATTCTATTTTTCTAGTCGAAATTGTCACAAAAAAAAAAAAAAAATTACATATTAATATTTTTTTTTTTAATTTAGGGTGTGCCAACATACTCTGATTGGCCCCTCCATAAATAGATGTTTTTTTTAGTCTCTCTCCACTTTATTTTTAATATTGGTACATGAAATTATAGTAAAAACATCCTTAAAATTTTGATTTATTTTTGAATTCATTTCTAAAAACTAATTAAAAAATAATGCCACCTAAATATTTCTTTATTCCCTTAATTTGATTGCATGTATGATTATGGTTTATCGCTTATTTACACATCCAATAACACAAAATACAAAAAATTATGATCATATCAATGCATTAAAATACTTTCTTTTTTCATAATAAATTATGTAATTAATTTTTTTTTTTTTTGGGTCTTTATATTTTCTTTATTACATACATTAATCCTCTCCAATCTTATTCCTAACAATACCCCTCTCTTTATACAAAATATAACAAAATTAAAGTTTGCCTAATTTTTTACATTTATTTTTTTGGTCCTATTAGGTCAATTATACTTAAAAAAAAAAAGAAATATGAAAAATAGATTAATTAAAATAATAATGATAATGTTTTGTAACTTACCAACTACAGACATAAGTTGAGCAGTTGAGAAGAACAAAACGGGAATCATCAATTATCATCTAAACAAAACAATGGTAACAAAGGTTTTTTTTTCTTTTTTTTTGTTTGGTTATGCCTAAAATAAAGGTTGAAATATGTTGACGTCATCAAACACCAACAGAATTTAGGAAACCATTATACTGTCTAGAACATGACACGTCTCCAAAGACAAAAAAATATAGCTGTCAAAGATCCAAATGACTCAAGAATTTGTGCTTGAGTGAATTTGTGTTCGTACACTTGTCCAAGTCCCATTTAATTGGATGATATACTTGAAGTTCTCAATGAATGAGAAGGCAGGAAGATCTTCACGACACTAGGTCACTTGCAAAAATGTAATAATTATCTTGAGCTAAATAGATATAAATAGACACTCTTCTTTATAAAATAGAGGTTGGCACACACCCTTCAACAAAGAAATAACAAAGATACGCAACTAGAAAAGATTGGTTTAACATTCTCTTAGAGTTCCAAACATAAACACTTGTACTCCAGATCACAGCTCTGATTCTTGTAAGCTTGTCTAGCTATCAGAAAATAACTTTTATATAAACGAACATAGTAACTAGAATCGCTTTAAGTATCCGACACTTATAAAAATCTTCTTATCAACTTTTATTTACGTCTTAGCATGCTATTGTAATCACTATATCTCATTCACTTATTATAATCATCTCACGTATAATTTTTTAGCATTTACATATACGTAATATCAAATTAATTATCACAATTTTATTATTTTATTTTTCCATGGAATAAATTTGCCTGCCTTGACTCAAGGTTGGCTTGGCCCAAAAGAGAAGAGATTTTGTTACGTTATTCTCTAAATGGTATTTTATAGGTTTCACGTTAACTTCAGTGCGTAGTTATTAAATTCCTTAATTTTGATATACTATGTCTTATTAATATTGTATAAAATATAATTTTATCATTGTTTTAACTAAAAAATAACACAAGGGACCTTTAGTCTATTAACTAAATAATCAATGGTTAAAGATGGTTAAATTTAATTATAATTATCAAAACAGAAGAGATAAGGATGGGTAGACAGATATTTTTTCTACCTATTAATAGACAATATAAAGATATTTGAATGATGTTTTCCTAAGTAACAGAAAACTATATTAATTTAACTTTATTGATTTAACCATGCTTCCAATGGTTGATAATGACTCCATAACTACTAATCGGTCAATTAAGAGAACAATTTATTTACTGAAATTTGTAATAAATTATTAGTATATTTATATATAATATATAATATTACCTATTTAAGAAATAATTTATTTGCGGATCCCGGTTTCGCTTTCCTTCCCGCAAAAACTGACTTATTCTCTCCGCTTTCTAAAGTTATTGTCTTTTTTTTTTTTTTCTCTTTCTAAAACGAAAACTAAAATTATTATTAAATTTATAAATTTAAAGCTAAGCTATGCAGATAATTCTGTACAAATACAACCCTCCTGCAACGCTATTATAGCTTCCTCTTAATCGAATCAGGTTCGTTATTGTTTTCATCATCATCATATTCATCTTTGACTGTTGAAATTCTTTTACTCTTGAATTTTAATACGATGAATTCATATTTTTTTCCGATTGATTACACGTCATTCAGAATTGTAAGTTGAATTGTATTATTAGGTTTCGTTTCGTGAATTTTTGTGCTGCCGATGTTAATCGGTTTTGGTCAATGAATCTATCATTTTAATATAATCGCCATTTTATTTAACATTTTTTGTTTTGTGTTTGATAGTTTTTATTTTTGGTTTTATTAATTCCTATGTGATTTTTTCTTTGTCGAATCAAACACAAATTATAGGTTTCTTTTTTTAAAATTGTTGATTAGTTTTTTCTTATTTGGTTGATTGATGAGGATTTATTAACTGCAGCAATGATTAATTAGATTGGTTTTTTGTGTTCTTGCGGTATAGTAGATTTGATCTTTGGAAGTTTGGAGGTTAAGTTTGGTAAATCAATGCAGGTCGGGGCCAACTTAACATTTGTAACTCCCTAATTGGTGCCTAATTTTGAGATTCTTTCGATCAGAAAGTCATGGTGATTTAGTTGTAATGAATTCCGAGAGTTAGGTTGTGTGGGAGGCTATATTATAATTATCCAATGGGGGTGACTACTTAGCGATTTCAGCTGTTTGTACAGTTTTAAGTTTGTAGGTCTTCAGTGGTGGACAGGTTTTCATTATAAACTAGAACAGATGGGTTAATCGGTGAGAATTTGGTTGACTTGGAGAATGCCAACCATGCCCTGGAGTTGTTCTTGGGTTCGTATGCCACAGTTGCATTGCTGGCAATTTTGCGCTCAATGTTTTTATTCTACTTATTCTTTGTCTCAAGGTATATATTTTTTGTGATTTGAATTTTACAATCATGATTTCCTGATCATACAAGTTTGCGCGAAGTGGCATATGCTTAGTTAAACAAAGTGCAAAAAAAGGATTTAGTCAAAAAATTTATTTTGGCAATCCGTTGCTCCAGTTTTTGTTTTGTTATAAATTAATTCTCCTCTGTTCACTCAGCATAATAATTCTTTGGTATTTACATGTCTATTTGTTCCAGAGTGGTAGCTTCAACACTTACCACCAGAAGCATAAGTCAAAGTATGACACAAGATGTTGTTACATATATGTGACTAGCTGATTCACGCGAGAAGGGAAGAAAGAAGATGAGTTTTTTTTGCCCTAATCTAAAGTATTTATATGTGGCAGGTAAATTACAATAACCCCCTCATTCTTTAATAACATTTCATTTCAGTCCCGGTTCTCGGTTCTGATTCCGGTTCCTGATTCTAGGAATCGGAACCGGAACCGTACAGTACGGTTCCAGATTTTTGGAACCGGAACCTACCCGTTGACGATCGGTTCTGGGTAGGAACCAGAACCAAACATCGGGTACCTAACGGTTCCGGTTCCGAACGGTTCTTTTGAACACCCCTAGTTATAGTAGAAGAAGAGCTTGTTTCTCGTGACCAGGTGTTTGGTGAAATTCGAGATTGTATGGCCAAGGCTCAAGCTCGAATGAAAAAAAATTATGACGCCAAGCATATAGAGAGGGAGTTCCAAGTAGGAGATTTTGTTTATTTGAAGCTCCAACCTTATTGCCAAACCTCTCTTACTTTGAGGAAGAACTAAAAGTTGTCAACTCGTTATTTTAGCCCTTTGAGATCATTGAAAAAATTGGCAAGGTGGCTTATAAGTTGAAATTGCCTACTATGTCAAAAATACATCCAATTTTTCATGTCTTTGTTCTTAAGAAGAAGCTTGGTGCTGATCATGTAGTGCTAGATGTCCTCCCTGAAGTTAATTCTATAGACCAACTCATTCCTTCTCCTAAGGTTGTGTTGGACCAGCAAGTTCGTAAAGGCAAGACTGAGATTTTAGTCCATTGGAAGGGCTTGTCTCCCGCAGACTCAACTTGGAATGTTCGTGATTTGATTCAAGAGCGTTTTCTAGATTTTATCCTTGAGGACGAGGATGCTTTGTAAGAGGGGAGGAGATGTTACATGGTTACGTGGAAACTTATCAAACTACCAAGTCCACATTGATCACATCATTCTGTTTTGAACATGGAATTAGTTTCTTCATTTTAGTTTTCTTGTTTAAGTTTATGTTTGAGTTGTTAGCATTATTCCATATTTTTGCTCAGTTAGTTTGGCTTTTGGCTTGTATTTAAATGATCTTTTATCATGGAATAAAAACATCGAATATCAGAAAATTTGCACCTTACTATTGTATTGGGAATTTGGGAGGCCTTGACCCCTCGAAGTGTCAAGAAACTTATTTCGTTCTTAATTGTTTATTTAGCAAAAATGAGTGTATCAGAAATAGGATGGACAAAGATTTTTATTTAGGGTTTTTATAGAAAAATTAAGAAAGTCAAAAATACCATTTTTAGTTTAACAATTACAAATAGTACCTTGATTATATATAAAGTTAACTGACGGAATTAATGGGGTGTACTAGCATTTCTAATAGTTGTGGGTGATATGTGAGAAATTGTGAAACCTATTGGGGTTTATTTATTTTTAGGGGTAGAATTGAAAAATAACATTTTTTTAAAAGTTTCTAGCAAAATAACATTATACATTGTTTTCAAGAGTTAACGACTTTTTCCCACCCACGGACTTTTAAAATACCACTTTACTATCCAAATTTATATTTCGACAGTGAACAGAGAGCAAACTCGGTCTAGGTTGTTGGAGCTTTTGAAGAGGGGAGGCTGATAAGTATTTTGGTGGTGGAAGGTTGGGTTTTAGTGGTTGGGATTGATCAGAATTTGACTTGGGAGGGACAACTGCATGAACTCTAATCCCTTGATTGCTGACAATTGGCAGGCTTGGTGGGAGTAGGGTTTGAGAGATTTTAGTAAGTGATGATCGAGGAAGATAATGGTAGTGTGTGGGGTTGCAACGATTGCGGAATTGGAAACGAAATATAAATTTAGGTAGTAAAATGGTATTTTAAAAGTCTGTGAGTATGAAAGTATCATTAAGTAATTATTTGGGTGGGAAAGAGTTGTATACTCTTATTTTCAGTGGCGAAAATATCTCTTTTCATAAATCCTTAAGGGCCTGTTGGTAAATAATTTAAATACAGTTTTTTGTTTTTGAAAACAAGGGATTGATAACAAATTTTAAGAAAATGCATTTAGTAAAAATGAGTATAAATGTTTTCAAAATCAGTTTTCGAATACAATTCAAAAACTAGTGTAAAATTAAAAACAATCAAAAGTGTTTTCACAGTTTTCTCAGACATTTAATTTGAAAACATTTTTTTTTAGTTTTTATCAAATGCATTTCAAAATTAAAAATACAACTAAAAAAGTTTGAATTGTATTTTTGAAAATTATTTTGCATCACAAATCAACTAGACCTTAATCATTTACCAAAACCCATTTTCAGACCTTAAAACCCATCTAACTGGTCTCCATAACTAGAATCCTTACCAAATCGAAGGATGGTGTCCTTTAATTTAATTTTTCCATAAAAAAAAAAAATTATTGAATTTAAAATTCTGAAATATGAAAACATAAAATCATAATGAATACAGAAATTTCCAAAATAAAAAACTAATTGACATATAATATTCTATTTTTCTAGTCGAAATTGTCACAAAAAAAAAAAAAAAAATACATATTAATATATTTTTTTTTAATTGAGGGTGTGCCAACATACTCTGATTGCCCCTCATAAAATAGATGTGTTTTTTTAGTCTTCTCTCCACTTTATTTTTTAATATTGGACATGAAAATTATAGTAAAAACATCCTTAAAATTTTGAATTATTTTTGAATTCATTTCTAAAACTAAATTAAAAAAATAATGCCACCTAAATATTTTTTATTCCCTTAATTGATGCATGGTGATTATGGTTTAATCAGCTTATTTACACATATCAATAACACAAAATACAAAAAATTATGATCATATCAATGCATTAAAAATACATTTTTTTTTCATAAATAAATTATGTAATTAATTTTTTTTTTGGGTCTTTAATATATTTCTTTATTACATACATTAATCCTCTCCATATCTATATCCTAATCAATACCCCTCTCTATACAAAATATAACAAAATTAAAGTTTGCACTAATTTTTTACATTTATTTTTTGGTCTATTAGGTCAATTATACTTAAATAAAAAAAAAGAAAATATGAAAAATAGATTAATTAAAATAATAATAGATAATGTTATTGATAAAATTACAAACTACAGACTAAGTTGAGCAGTTGAGAAGAACAAAACGGGGAATCATCAATTTATCATCTAAACAAAACAATGGTAACAAAGAGTTTTTTTTCTTTTTTTTTGTTTTGGTTATGCCTAAAATAAAGGTTGAAATATGTTGACGTCATCAAACACCAATCAGAATTTAGGAAACCATTATACTGTCTAGAACATGACACGTCTCCAAAGACAAAAAAAATATAGCTGTCAAAGATCCAAAATGACTCAAGAATTTGTGCTTGAGTGAATTTGGTTCGTACACTTGTCCAAGTCCCATTTAATTTGATGATATACTTGAAGTTCTCAATGAATGAGAAGGCAGGAAGAATCTTCACGACACTAGGTCACTTGCAAAAATGTAATAATTATCTTGAGCTAAATAGATATAAATAGACACTCTTCTTTATAAAATAGAGGTTAGGCACACACGCATTCAACAAAGAAAATAACAAAGATACGCAACTAGAAAAAGATTGGTTTAACATTCTCTTAGAGTTCACAAACATAAACACTTGTAATCCCAGATCACAGCTCATGAATTCTTGTAAGCTTGTCTAGCTATCAGAAAATAACTTTTATATAAACGAACATAGTAAATCTAGAAGTCGCTTTAAGTATCCGAACAATTATAAAAATCTTCTTATCAACTTTTATTTTACGTCTTAGCATGCTATTGTAATCACTATATCTCATTCACTTATTATAATCATCTCACGTATAATTTTTTAGCATTTTACATATACGTTAATATCAAAATTAAGTATCAACAATTTTATTATTTTATTTTTCCATGGAATAAAATTTGCCTGCCTTGATACTCAAGGTTGGCTTGGCCCAAAAGAAGAAAGAGATTTTGTTACGTTGATTCTCTAAATGGTATTTTATAGGTTTCACGTTAACTTCAAGTGACGTAGTTATTAAATTCCTTAATTTTGACTATACTATGTCTTATTAATATTTGTATAAAATATAAATTTTATCATTGTTTTAACTAAAAAATAACACAAGGGAACTTTAGTCTATTAACTAAATAATCAATGGTTTAAAGATGGTTAAATTTAATTATAATTATCAAAACAGAAAGAGATAAGGATGGGTAGACAGATATTTTTTCTACCTATTAATAGACAATATAAAGATGATTTGAATGATGTTTTACCTAAGTAACAGAAAACTATATTAATTTAACTTTATTGATTTAACCATGCTTCCAATGGTTGATAATGACTCCATAACTACCTAATCGGTCAATTAAGAGAACAATTTATTTACTGAAATTTGTAATAAATTATTAGGTAATTTATATATATATATATATATATATAATTACCTATTTAAGAAATAATTTATTTGCGGATCCCGGTTTCGCTTTCCTTCCCGCAAAAACTGACTTATTCTCTCCGCTTTCTAAAGTTATTGTCTTTTTTTTTTTTTTCTCTTTCTAAAACGAAAACTAAAATTATTATTAAATTTTATAAATTTAAAGCTAAAGCTATGCAGATAAATTCTGTACAAATACAATCCTCCTGCAACGCTATTATAGCTTCCTCTTAGATCGAATCAGGTTCGTTTATTGCTTTCATCATCATCATATTCATCTTTGACTGTTGAAATTCTTTTAACTCTGTGAATTTTAATACGAATGAATTCATATTTTTTTCCGATTGATTACACGTCATTCAGAATTGTAAGTTGAATTGTATTATTAGGGTTTCGTTTCGTGAATTTTTTGTCTGCCGATGTTAATCGTGTTTTGGTCAATGAAATCTATCATTTTAATATAATCGCCATTTTATTTAACATTTATTGTTTTGTGTTTGATAGTTTTTATTTTTGGTTTTAATTAATTCCTATGTGATTTTTTCTTTGTCGAATCAAACACAAATTATAGGTTTCTTTTTTTAAAATTGTTGATTAGTTTTTTCTATTTTGGTTGATTGATGAGGGGATTTATTAACTGCAGCATATGATTAATTAGATTGGTTTTTTGTGTTCTTGCAGGTATAGTAGATTTGATCTTTGGAAGTTTGGAGGTTAAGTTTGGTAAATCAATGCAGGTGGGGGCCAACTTAACATTTGTAACTCCCTAATTGGTGCCTAATTTTGAGATTCTTTCGATCAGAAAGTCATGGTGATTTAGTTGTAATGAATATCCGAGAGTTAGGTTGTGGTGAAGAGGCTATATTTATAATTATAACCAATGGGGGTGAGCTACTTAGCAATTTCAGCTGTTTGTACAGTTTTAAGTTTTGTAGGTCTTCAGTGGTGGACAGAGTTTTCATTACATAAACTAAGAACAGATGGGTTAATCGGTGAGAATTTGGTTGACTTGGAGAATGCCAACCATGCCCTGGAGTTGTTCTTGGGTTCGTATGCCACAGTTGCATTGCTGGCAAATTTTGCGCTCAATGTTTTTATTCTACTTATTCTTTGTCTCAAGGTATGTTGGTTTTTGTGATTTGAATTTTAGTATAAAATGCTATTACAATCATGATTTCCTGATCATACAAGTTTGCGCGAAGTGGCATATGCTTAGTTAAACAAAGTGCAAAAAAAGGATTTAGTCAAAAAATTTATTTTGGCAATCCGTTGCTCCAGTTTTTGTTTTGTTATAAATTAATTCTCCTCTGGTTCACTCAGCATAATAATTCTTTGGTATTTACATGTCTAATTTGTTCCAGAGTGGTAGCTTCAACACTTACCACCAGAAGCATAAGTCAAAGTATGACACAAGATGTTGTTACATATATGTGACTAGCTGACTACATATAGAACAGCAGTTACTACAATACAGCAACATGCAGTTTTTGTGTCTGAAAAGAGTACCAATTTTTATACACACTACATCTCGTTGGTAACTGCATCCAATCTCCAAAAAATCCCAATTGTTTCAAACTTTCTATTAGTCAATTTTCAACTGAATGGAACCTTGTATCCTATACACCTTTGAGGTGTACACACTCTGTACAACTTCTGCTTACCTGAATGGCTCTCCTAAAAGCCTCTAAGAAGCATAATTGGATGCTGTGAAAAAAAATTCCTCTTAAGCTTCATGATCACTTTGCTCTTATGTATAACTGAAAGTTGATTATAAAAATAGCTGTAATATATCAAAATGGATACCATGAGGATGCTAGTGACATATTATGTTGGGTATTGAGAATGATCGGGCTTTATATATGGAGCATGTTGGTTTGTAGAACATTTCTCTCTTCTGGGTTCTCTCTAAATAGAAGATTAGGGTTTTGATATTTTATTTGCTTCTCTTCTCTTTTCACATGTTTCACTCATCTTCCATACGTTTGATCTATATCTCTATAAGGACTGTAACTGTACCATGCCACATGGGTCCCTCTTCTTCTTCTTCTCTTTTTTTAAATATATATCACGTAACTAATAATTTTGTTGATAAAATTTAGATCGATTCTTATTCTTCTTCTCTTTTTAGATATAGATTGGTTAACTCATGATAATGTTGATAATTTTTTTCCTATCAGTGTTGTTTTAATGGTTTTAATATCTGTTTTCCCCTTGCAGACTATATTCTTTGTAGAGTTGTATCCTTCTGAAACTCGTAAATTTGTGGAACGTCTTATCAACTATGTCATTTACAAGGTGAATATTCCTTACTTCCAATTAGTCGCAAAATGTATGAATATGTGTAATTAGAATTTTGGACTCTGAAGTTTACAAATAGTTCATTGCTGGTTCTTTTTCTTCATTTGCTACAGAATTTAATAAATCATAAGTATAATTTAGGAGTGTTAGAGTAATTCATAGGAGAAAATGAAGTTTGTTGATCTGCCAAATTCTGCTAGAATTTATACAACAAAAAAATGTCTTTTGAGGTTGATATGGATACGGAACTGCTTAGATTACTTTAGTTCAGTAACATATCACATTCTCTTGGGAGAACTTGGATTAGGGAATTCAACAATCTGTGAACTTCTCTGTCCTCATTCGCATACATCAGTAGTGAGAAAGCTTTTGGACAAGAATTAATTAATGAGAGATGGGTATCTTCATCGGTTGATGTAAATGTGCCCTTAACTTTTGCTAGTGGGAATTTTATATGTTTTTTTAATTTTTTTTTAATTTTGACAAGTTATGTAAATTTAAGATGGTACTTTGCAGACTGGGATCTATTCTCTAATGTGAACAGTAATTAACTTTGATTCCAGCTGCTCGCATCATCTAATAGTGAAGAGTTCTCTGTGAAATGGAAAGTGCTTATATTCAATGTCTCATTGTCGTATACAGGAGACCTAGAATATAAGCACCCAGCTTTAAAACTACTATTTTATCATTTATTAAGCATCCTCAGACTTGTGCTAAGTACTTTGTGTTTGTTCACATCTGCTTGTGTATAAGTATGTTTGTTTTTGTTTGTGGATACAGCAAAGAAATTTTAGACAGAGAAATAAAATGTGAGATTGGTAATGTCAAGGTTTTTTCGTTTCTCTTTTCTTTTCAAATGGAAGGTTGATGTCATTAAGGTATTCTTTGGGTACTTTGAGGCCTACAAAACAGTGTATATATAAGTGCTTTTGAGATGCTGTAAACCTACTTTTGGTTGGCTTTAATTGTGTTGGTCATTCAGCATGGAGGAAAATCTTATCGGGAGGGGTTAATGATTTTTTTTTTTTTTTGTCACAAATCAATGTCTTGAAGACATTTTACGAGAGAAGATTGGATATATAAGATGAGAAGTTGTTGATCATATTTATAAAAGATACTGAGATCTGCTTTTTGAGAGAACAGTTTGGCACTATATATTCATGGCGAAGACGGGCTCTTTGGCTGATTTAGGAGCTTCCTGGTTCTTTATGCTGTTTTGCAAGTGATGGATTTTATATACCCTTATTTTTTTATTGCAAACAGCTCTCTGGTTTTATAATTTGATCACTACAATGGTGCTGGTTGTTTATCTTATCAATTTAGATCTTGTTCGGTGATTGTATGATCTTCTATGTTGATGATTTGACTTTTTATAATTTTCTGACAATTGAAGATGTTAAGACTTAAGTCATGTACAAAGTTGCTGTGTATAATCTCAATTATCTTCATAAATATACTTTTTTTGCTAAGATTTAACAGTTCTATTGTTCTATGCATATCATTGGATATTGAACAGGGAACATTTCTACCGCTTGTTGTTCCACCAACAGTATATCAAATGGGCTTGTGGTCAATTTGGTTGACAGTCTTATGTTCTTTAAAGGTATGTGATGCAATGGACTTCAATGGACATTCTATTTTAAGATTCAATCAGTAAGGACATTTAATTGCAACATATATATGACAAGTCTCATGCATATCGAGCAGATGTTTCAAGCCTTGGCAAGAGATAGACTCGAACGTTTGAATGCATCTCCCTCTGCGACACCATGGACATATTTCCGCGTGTTTTCAGTATTACCTTTGGTTCTCTCTGTTGACATTATCTGGTATGAACTAATGTTCTTATGTTTTGTATATATTTTATGAATAATGAATTTACGAATGCCTTTTTGTGTGTATGTTTACCTTTTTAGTTTTCTTGTAATGGAATCATGGATCTAATCTGCATATTTTCATTCACCACTACAACTAGGCTTACACTTAAGGGTGATGTTGAAAGAAATAACTGACTTCCAACATCTGAGAATTTGCAAGCAACCAAATCTTATTGTAGACAAAAGAGTATCTTTCTTCTGAAGGATTCTATGCACTCTCTAAGAGTATGAATCATTTTTCTGAGTATTTGGACTATTGTCTTCTATGTTAAGAGTGTTAAGAGTAGTTGGTATTAAGGCCTAATGCTAATTCAGGAAAAGGTGTTCTATTTGCTTTCTGCTTTCCTCACACTTTCAAATATAGGAATGCAATATTTTACCTTTATTCATTTTAAAGACTTTAATTTACTAATGAACAGGCAGACACTATGTTTTTAGTAATTTTGTAAAGCTTAGAAGTGTCTCTTATGTTAGTTGTTTCACACTTGCAGGATAAGGCTATGTCTAATAATGTGCAGAATACTGGATTCATCTATGTCCCTGTTGTTATTTTTTGAGCCTCTGAGTGTCGCTTTTGAGACCATGCAGGTAATGTTATAGAAAACCTCATGGAATATGATACATATTTTTTAATTTTAATATTTCTTAAGCCTTGATTGATGAAGTCATTTGGTACCGAAAATGCTTCCTGTAGGCCATTTTGGTTCATGGTTTCCAGTTGCTTGATATATGGATCCACCATGCAGCAGGGAATAGCACAAACTGTGAAAGGCCAAAGTTCTTCGACACATCAGCGGCAGGTGATTTTTCCGACTCTCTAGCTTCTCGTTGATGCGTTAGTGTGATACCTAAGGTAGGACAAGGGATAGTTGGTTATTCTTAGGCTTGGTAGTTCCATTGTGCTTTTAATTATTCCATTAGAAATTATTTATAGTTTCTTTTGTTTTTTGTTGTGGTTGTGATATTTCAAAGAGGTATTTTTCTGGGGAACTGAAACACTATATTAGCTGCACTGAAAGATTTCTCTCTTTACTGATGGGTTTTGTTGCATTGATAAACAGTAAAGCTCAATTTCTTTATCTCATATTTTAGTCTGGCTTAGCATGATTTTATAAGTAGGAGATGTGTTAGTTGTGATATTTTCAGTTACTTTGCTAATTATTAGGTGCTTTGTGAATGACGGTTTTCATATATTTGCAGCATATTAACGAATTCAATCTCCTTGATAAACTACATAGGTCCTTTTCAGTTTCAAAATTTGGTACTTTTTTACTGTTTTTCGTTCCGATGAGGTGTCCTTTTCAGTTTGAAGTTTGGCTAATTTTGATTGTTTTAGTGCCCATCGGCGATATACCTAAATTTAGGTTGTGATTCATGTTCTGATGAAGGAATGTTTGTGCAGGTGCATTGTTGGAATGGAAGGGCATTCTTATCCGAAATTTGGGCTTTTTCCTAGACATGGCTACATTGTTTATGGCACTTGGTCATTACATGCATATTTGGTGGCTTCGTGGCATGGCTTTCCATCTTGTGGATGCAGTCCTTTTCTTAAACATACGTGTAAATATTTCTGTAAATATTCTATTCTATTTTTAATTGCAAAATATTAACATCTAGCTAGCAGGTTGTTTTAATATATCTTTATTTCACTTGCTTTATGTTTATATAATCAGCTTTATCTACAGGCCTTGCTAAGTGCTATCATAAAGCGTATAAAAGGATTCATCAAACTGAGAGTAGCTTTAGGGGACCTTCATGCTGCGCTTCCTGATGCAACATCTGAAGAGCTACGTGCATATGACGATGAATGTGCTATCTGTCGGGTATGCTTTTGTCTTTTGTTGTTGGCCTTTTAGGTTCCACTTGATCCCTTGAATTGTGATGAACTGGGAAATTTTTCAGGAGCCCATGGCAAAGGCTAAAAAGCTTCACTGCAATCACCTTTTCCATCTTGCGTGCTTGAGATCTTGGTATGTTTTATGTTATTTGTGACTGACCCTCAGCTTGTGTATTTGCAGTCTACGAGGCTTAATATAATGTTGAATTGTAATTTGTAAATGGCAGGTTGGATCAAGGTTTAAATGAGATGTACTCATGCCCTACATGTCGAAAACCGCTTTTTGTGGGTAGACCTGAAAACAATGCAACCCCTCGTGCTGGGGAAGTTTCCAGCGATGAACAGTTAGCTCGTCAATTAAGTTTGGGCCTAGATAGGCAAAACAATTCTGCACAAACCCTTCCCACTGGTGTTTTCCCAACTCAGACACAGAACCCTATGGAAGATAGCCCTTGGAGGTTCAGTTCCTTACTTTACATAAATGCAGTTCATTTTCTTGCCTTGAAATTATTAATCTTACTGTTTATATTTGAAAAAGCACTCCTTTGGTTTAGTGGTGTTAAAATCCACTAGATTTACACTTTAGACCTTCGGAACTCAGTTCTGGCTTGTTGCTGAAGTTCCTTTTTGGTTAGGTCTGTGTGATCCTGGGGCTTTAGGCTTACTACCATGGATGACTTAAACCTAGATTTTTGTCAAGCATCTAACCTTTCCATTAATAAGACTAGCAGCCATTTTCCTGGATATAATAGTAACAAGTTCAAATTTGTTTAGTAGAACCTTTTGTGCTTCTGCTTCTCTGATCACTAAATTCCATTTTAGGCAGGACTCGCATTTGAATATTGAAATTAGTCAATTTCTCTTCAAGTTAATTTATTGTAGCTTTTGCTGATACCAAAAGATTGTTTCTCTGTTCTCTGATGTGTAAAATTCATGCATAAAACTTGCAATTGATCAAACAATGTCATATTCATAGGGTGTTCAGTTTACAATATTTTGTTCTTTTCCATTTCTCCTTTTGTTCTTTAGGAGTGCAGGACTTGATTCAAGTTGGTTGCATACTTGGCCAAGCCAAGGTGTTGATGGAGCTGGTCCTTCTACAGCTATGAGATCAGTTGGATTAGGGAGAGTTCAGATGATGATGAGACATCTTGCATCTGTAGGAGAAACCTATGCACAAACTGCCATTGAGGATACTTCTTGGAGCCTTTGGCAAATGAATCCTTCTCAGGCTGCTGGTGCTGCTTCTGGTTCACCTGTTCCTCCTCCTGTTGCTGGAAGATACCTTGGAAATACTGGTGGTCTACATACTAGATCAGCCTCATGGTCTGGAAATGATGACATAGCAAACATACTTGCTATGGCTGAGACTGTGCGAGAGGTTCTGCCACATGTCCCAGATGAGTTAATTTTACAGGTATAGTTTGGATTTTATGTTTGATAATGCTCTTGTTGGTCAATTATCTTTAGCCTTTAGTTATCCTTCAGTTCAGGTCAATTATGTCATCTATGTTTGTAGTTAGATTAACTTTTTCTGTTGGGAAAGAAATTTTATCTCGCTTTTCCTGTCACGCAAGCTACTTCTGCTAGATTTTCACCTTTCATAGTATTCCACTGTTAAATCTCGTATACAGACACATGGTATCTAGAAGTCCTGTGGTGGGAAAGCATGTTTTTGTGGCTGTTGCTAGAAATATCCCCTTTTCTTTTCTTCCAGAGCCCCAGCTTCGTCTCCTGTAACCCACACGGTGCGTTGAAAAAAAAACAAAACTTTTCCCAGTTGTGGGAGGTTGTTTCTCAAAAAAAAAAAAATCACGAGTATACTTTGGGTCAATGTGAAATTTTTTGAAGGGTTTTATCCTCTGAAGATGCCTTGTCTAACTTGCATGCAGGGTCATTTTTTTATTAAGATAATGGTAACAACTTCCCTATTTTTATTATATATAGGAAACCAACTCAGTCAAGTAATTAGCCCGAAGCCAACTTTAGGGTTTTGCTTACCTTTACTAGCATCGATGTAGACAACCGGATTGGGCGGAGGTGCATTTCAGTAACTGATTATGTTTAATTTGGTGCTAAATGGTCATTTTGGAATTCATGTAATTGACAATGACAATTCATGTTTAGTCTTTGAGTTTTCCATATTTACCGGTTATGTTTAACTAATGTAATTTTGCAGGACTTGCAAAGAACAAATTCAGCTACTGTTACTGTGAATAATCTTCTTCAAATGTGATTTGCTTACATATTTTAACGCCCCGTGAATACGTGAATGAGAATCATGATCCAGTGTATAAGTTTGAAGGCGTGCATGCGCAGCAGGAAGGTGGTTCGTATTATCAAACAGAATGGTTTTATATGTTTGTTATTTTAAGAAAAAAAGATTAAATGTCGAGAGCTCCATTCTCTGTACAAAAAGGCAGCTCGGTAAATCAGTTGTTCTCAGTGAAGAACACAAATATAGCCCTTAGTATTACTATGTACTACATGGAAAAATAAAATTTGCTATATACACATTTCACAGACTGTTATATTATTATATGCAGTCCGGTTTTGATGCTGCATTCCATTCCATTTTCTTCTCCCTTCAATTAAATTATTTTCGCGTGTAAATGCCATAGATTTGCCGGCGTGTGGACAAGGGCAACGAGCCTTCCAAGAATGCGGGGCTTTAAGAAACACCTCCTCCTTGGGTTCTTCATTGGTCGAACACTCAGGCCCATAGATTAACACTCATTTGAATATTATATTATATAAGATTAGGATTTCATATCTTAAAAATTCAAATTCATTAAAGTAAAGACCATTAAGAAATACGTATATTGAATTTTAAATGTCTCAAAATTTAGTTATACTAAAAAAGAGTTATTAATCCGAGAGCTGAAGTCTAAGAACTTGTTTGACTGTGCTTATGCAAATTAATTTATAAGCAATTGGTATTTATAAGTTAATTTGAGCTTATAAGCATCATTGTTTTAAAAGTCAGACTGGAGGGTAACATGTTTTGCTGTTCGGGTCACTAGTCAACCGGTCCAATCGGTTGGACCGGTCGATTGGACCGATGATATCAACGATAATTTTATTTTAAAAAAATTATCATTAATCCCTCAAATTTTAATATATTACAAAAAATCTCCTTAAAAAGATCAAATTAGTCCCTAAATTTTTTATTTATTTCAAAAAATGCCCCAAAAAAATTACCAATTAATCCTTACACTTTTGAAATATCTTCAAAACACCCTTATAAAATTATAAAGTAACCCTTATAATTTTGAAATATTACAAAACCTCCCTAGGACCTGAGCCGGTCCGGAGAAGCTGTCGAGTCCCGGTCAGACCGGTCCAGTCTGGTTTTTAAAACAGAGATAAACATTTAAAATTTTAAGCTGTTACGTGTTTGGTTAATGTATTTATAAGTGACTGATAAATAGTTGACGCGTTTGATAAAACGTGTCTTATAAATACATTTTATTATTAAAAAGACTAAAAATGATATTATATCATTTTATCAATTAATAAATTATTCAACCGGATTTTAAAATTAAATATGAATAATGTGGTAATATATTTAGTCAACTGAAAAAAAAAAAAAAAAAAAGTGCCTCCCCCCCTCTACCCACCTTTTTTTTCTTCTTATAAGCTGAGTTTATAAGTCCAAAAAAGTTATAATCAAACAGATCAACTTAATTTAAGAGCTTATAAGCTCAGACAGACACCCCCTAATTCTTATATTTTAAATGTCAACTTAAGGCAAAAAAAAAATGTATCATCATTTATATGATACAGATTTAGAGGGGAAAGAAAAACCTTTTATTCTTTAAAGTTGAAATATAACACAGTGCATGAGATGAGACTGTTCTGCATTCAGTAACTCATCTTTAGATTTAAAATTATGTTAATTTAAGGAGTAGATCTTTCTCCTCAATTTTGAGAGGTTTTACCCGCTGTTTTAAAACCCGGACCGGAGGGTAACTCGTTTGCTGCTCGGGTCATGGATCAATCGGTTGGACCGATGACGTCAGCGATAATTTTATCTTTTAAAAATTATTATTAATCCTTAAATTTTAATATATTACAAAAATTCCTCTAAAAAAGTTCAAATTAGTCCCTAAAATTTCTATTTAATTAAGGCCCCCAAAAATTTTTAATTAATCCCTAAACTTTCGACATATCTCCAAAACACCCCTATAAAATAACAAATTAACCCTTATAATTTTAAAATTTTACAAAAACCTCCCTAAGACCTGAACCGGACAGGAGAAGCGCCGGCTCCCGATCGGACCGGTCAGGTCCGGTTTTCAAAACAGAGGTTTTACCTACTCTTTTGTGTTACAATTCTTCAAGAAAAATTTCCCCATTATTAGATTCTTAGATATTAATCACGTATGTTTTTTCTTGAAAATTTATCTGTGATAATCAGATTAAAGAAAACTTAAAAAAATGATCCCCAAATGTATCCATCTTTTTTTTTTTTTTTTTTTTGGTTTTTTTTGCCCTTATGAAGTTGACCAAGTCCATGATATAAATAATTACGCTATCAATCTCAGGTTGAATGGAATAATAAATTAAAAAATGTAGTTATAGTATAAGGTAATTATATATTAATGGGTTTTAACAGTTAAAAGTCTATCTGTGAAAATAAATAATGTTTTGGTAAGTTTTTGTGTCAAGGTAATACGGTGGAAAAGAGCAACAAACACGGAGCCAGCATGAAATCAGACGACAAGAATTGGAGTTATCAAACAAAAAGGTAACCCTAGCCTTGTGAATTGAAATCCTACAATATTAATTTATTTGCTCAATCTCTCTTTGAATATGGCTGTTGTTTTTTGACCACGCAACCTCTACAATTTCTGGTTGAGCATATCGAGGAAAATGTTTGAAATGTGCTACTATATTTTAATACTTTTCTAATTTTAATTTGTTTACTATTTATTATTGTTGGCTCAATTAGTTCTACGATTGGGAAAGTGTAATTAAACCATTAGTTAAGTTGGGAAAAGTCACTTACTCTCGTATGAACTACGATGCTACTTTCTATTAAATCCAAACAGATAATACAACAATTAAATTTAATGAAATCGAGAATTCTTTGTGAAAAATTAAAAAAGTAAATGACCAAAACAACACAATTTATTTTGTTTTCCCATAATCAAATCACTCACTTACCTCCATGTTAACATTCTTATAAACAGCAATGTTGTCTTGTCTCTTCCAAAACCTGCTTTAATTAATTAATTATACAGTACATATAGTCAATCTTTATGTGTACTCCATTGATCAAACACTAAAGAAGATACGTATATCCTGCAGAGAAGCCACTTTTCTTTTGAACTACTCTCTGATCTATTTCTTAAAGGGGGCAAGGGCTAGCTATTGATTTAAGCTAGTCATCATCATGTCCATCATACTTTCTCTTCTCATCTTGATTTTATGTCTTTCCTTCCATCCATGTAATGCTCGCCCTTTTGGGGTCATCCATGAGGGTTCTAGCACAGTGCAGCTCCACTTCTCTGGCGAGGTTGCCGCTCATCCACCTTTGCTTCTCTTTATTTTACATTTAAACCATACGATCTACATACAATCTTCTTTTTTCTTCTTTATTCTTTTACTAATAATTATCTGGTTTCTGGTGCAGGTTGTGGAGAAGGTTAAATTACTTGATCACTTCAATTCATCAGTTGGAAGAGGAACAAGTATTGGACATAGCATTGTTGATGATAATAAGATAAGTCATGGAGGTGCAACAACTCGAGAACCAAAGGACTCAATAAAGAAAATTTCAGGTCATGTTCCAATCAAGTCCCTTGTTTCAGTTTCTTGGCGTACTGAACCCGTTCAGAACCATGTCAAAGGCAAAACTATTCCTGGAATTTTCTCAGATTATTCACAACCGAGAACTCGGACTCCTTCTCATAACTGAAGTTCTATTTTTAATTCATCCTCCCTTCTACATCCACTAATCTTCATGCTTCCCAGCTAATTATTCACCATTTGAACTTACCTTGTCGATCGAGCTAGCATCCTTAAGCCTTATTTAGCCTTTATAACTAGTTGGGAAGAACCCCAATGAGCCTCAAAGTTGTTGACTCTGTATATTTGTTTCACTATATCCGAACATAGTATTCATTTGTTCTTGTAGTTTAAAAACCAGAGATTTTATTGTAGTAATTATGAGATTTTTGCTTCTTATATAGTTTCATCGTTGCTGTTGATTGTTCGTTATTGATAGGAATGAAACATGCAGGAACTGAGATTTTTGAGTCCTCTAGTAACGTGAATTTGCTTAATAAGGCAACAACTGCCACACAGGTAAATTCATATATATCTGATGCTAGCTAGCTGTGTGTAGTTAAAGGGGTTTTGGACATAGGGTTTATATCATAACCTGAAGCTTATGTGATATGCCCATGTCCTCAGGGCAACAAAAGAAAGTTTATCGTTTGTGCATGCATGAAACGATTAATTGCATATGCATGTGCTTATATATTTGTAATATCAGGCTCTATTATACATTAAATTTCATTTATGAAGTATATAGTTTGAATGAACAGATTAATATATATATATATATATAGATGTTTTTGCTTTTTATTACAAAATATTATTCAAAAAAACCTGAGATGATTATTTGCTATATATTTTAAAAAGTGATTGAACATTGCACATTGGAAATAAGCTTCGCAATAATTGATAGTATCCGTAATAAGATATAGCACACTCTTGATAAAGAGTGTCAAAAAATCGCTCGAAGAAGATAGAATTATATATTTTTGATATATAAATATATATATATAACACATTACTATATACTATGTGTTGATTATGTAGGGATGGAGAAGGCGAGCATTACTAGTAGAATCTGGTACAGACCAGGTTAAAAAAGCAGTAGAATATTTCAGTAATGACAAAGTTGAAGAAGAAGAAGTGGCTATGACAGATGATTATAACCCACCGCATCAGACACCACCCATTCACAATAGACAAACCTAAATTCGTATTTTGATAATGGCAATGCAGTTGTTTTCATATAAGAATTTGAAGAGAATCATAGAATGAGCAAGCCAGCTAGATATTTCAAGTGCATCATGGACTGGCTACTAGCCAAGATCTCTGTGTGTGTGTGTGTATGTTGTGCTATATATCTGTAGTTGAAAGCATTTGTAATCCAGTTGCAAGCACAACAAAGAATAAATTTTTTTTTCTTTAAATTCCTCCTCTTTTATTTGCTAAAATGAACAAATTAAAGCAATTAACTTTTTATTCAGTAATTCAGTTGTTGTAAACAGTTTTCTGAAAGATTTTTGAAGCAAGAAAACTTTGCCTGGAAAGATTCAATATAGAGAGTAAATTCGATGGCCACATTTGACGTTTTCATTTTGTTTATCTTGAGCTTTACTTGACCCTTATCAATTTAAAATATGAAGGGAGAGTGAGATTAGGGTCAAGAGGATGACTGAATCTCCGCTAATTGATTGGAACAATTAAATATTAATTCCCAATCTAATTAGGTCCAATTGATCCTTCCTTTTGTTACTCTTAAACAAAGTCTAATTCTACTGTAGGCGATAATTAAGGTTTAATTAATTTGAGAAACAATTATATATATTGAAAATATTTGACTTATATATATACTTTCTTATATAACTTCAAATTATATAATTATAAATAAATTGATTTTTGTATCTAGTTATGTAGCTATTATATATGAGGTTTGTTTTCTTTTTTTTTTTTTTTTTTTTTTTTTTTTGCAATTAATCCATTACTTTTACTAATTATGAAATAACCAAATTCTTTTTTGTGATTGGGGTGTCCGAGTAACTTGTACGCATCTTAACTAATCCTCCAGGCCTAGAAGATAACGGTCGGATAAACCTCCAGTGGCTACCCCTATTAACAATTGAGATAATCGAACTCAAAACCTTTTAAGTATATACTCTAAGAGTTTCAATTCAACCACTCGGCTACCCCAAGATGTTTATATGTGAGTTCTTGTCGCAGATTAAGAGAATATTATTGCTTATATAATTATGAATTTAGTAGGTGAAAAGTGGTTTAATTAGTAGACAATACAAATGGAATGGAACGTAAGCAACCATGTCGAGAATGTCTCCCATATGTTTTATAAGCACAAAGTTCCATATCAAAAAACAAGGAAAAAAGTTGAACTAATATGCATTAAAATATATGAACAAGATTAATTTTATAATTTCGTGCCCAAATCCCCATGATAAAAATTGGATGCAAAAGAACATAAAGAGCCTGACGAACTTGTACAAAAAGAATAGAAAATGTAATACAATTAGACAAACGAAATTGCATGTCTCAATCTCCTCCAGACAAGCCACAACTAATCCTCTTGGGATGCATCCCAAATTGCTGGATCACTATTCAGAGTTCAACCCTAGTTTGATACGTAAGCTGCTGGTTATAAAGGAACTCTTTCACCACCATTACTGCAAATTCTCTACACCTATAACCCTATCTAGAGATCACTAACTAACATAGAAGAGGTCATATAATAAGTGAATAATGAATCCAGAATCAATCCCGGTTAAGTAACAATTTCAAGTGTTATTAGTAGAACACATACGATTAGCTGATAAAATAGTGAGTAAACGACTTTTTCCCGTTCAAGGTTTGCCTTAATGATACTTTCCCACAAAATAAGTTCGAAAATACCACTTTCTCATCTGAAGTTCATATTTTGTTAATACTTAAAATACATTTCATTTTCTCGTTGGTGTTTGGTAAATTACTAGGAGCCAAGATAAGAGGGGTTTTATAAAGTGGAGGCTAGTGGATCAAATGGTGGTGACCAATTGAATATTCGTCGATAAAATCAATCGAAAATTAGTTAAGAATAAGAAACCTTAATCTTGCAGTAACCGACAATCGACAAGAAATCAGGTGTCGAAGTGGGAGAGGTTTTGTAGAGAAGAGATATGAGGTTCAAATGGTGGTGATAAAGAGAATTTTCGTCGTCGGAATTGACATTGGGTATCAACGGAATATAAACATTGAGTGAGAAAGTGGTATTTTGAAATTTTTTGGATGGATAAGTGTCATTAAGGCAAACCTTGGGTGGGAGAAAGTCGTTTACTCAATAAATAGTGAATGATTATAAGGTATAATTTAACCTTTTTTCAAGTTGAAGGACAAAGTGATCCGATCGATGATGAAATAAATGACAGGTCACCTGTTCTTTAAACTTACAATAAGCTCAATGATTTTATGACTCATGAAGGAATAATTGAATAAGAACATTTAGAAAGATCATGGACTGGGCTGGACATTGGGCTCGGTCCTGGTTGCCCATCTAAGTTATTGTTTTGTTTGATTCCATATTTGATGTAGGTAGAGAAAATTTATGGTTGCACATTTATATTACAATAGCAATAATTTTAAACTAATTTATTCACGTTATATAAATATTAAATTTAATAACTATCAATCATATGTAATGTAAAGATTAATAAGAAGAAAACAAATTCAGACGTAATATAAGGATATTAGTTTGTAATATAGTTGATTTGGTACCACCATGATATTTTAGATTTTTGAAAATTGCGTTTTTAAAAAAAAAAATTATTAGTTGTTTTATTAAAAGTATACTAATTATTTTATGGTTTCTAGAAGAGCTCTTTTTTTTTTTTTTTTTTTTTTTTTTTTTTTTTTTTTTTAAACTCTAGCACAAAGTAGCTAGTTTTAATTATTTGAAATTTGAAATAAAATAAAACAAACTACCAATATACATATTGTTGAAAACAATCAATACTTCTTAATTACAACATATTTTATCATCCCTATATAAGAGGAGTAGCATAAATGTTATTTATTTTGTCAATTAATTTCCTATAATGATATTCATATATTTTTTTTAATAATAGTAATATCATTTTTGTCTTTAATTATGAGGATTAGATTTTATTTTTTTTGTTAACCAGAGGTATCTGAGCCAGCTTATGCGCACCTCAACTAATCCTCTAAGGCCTTAAAGGTGACGACCAGGTAAATCCCCTCAATGGTCATCCCCATTAGGGCCTATGAGGACTTGAACTCAAGAACCTATGTTGGACTAGGGTTGCAAACAAACCGAACGCCAACGAACACCCCTCTTCGAAAATCGTTCGATAAGCATAATGGATTGTTCGAAATCGTGTTCGAACTCGAACAAACATAGAATCACCATTCAAAATTGTTCGAATAACTCGTGAATTTCTGTTCGAATACCTATTTGAATAAAAAATTTGGGTTGGGCCGGGTTAGTTGGTTAGTTATTGGGTTTATATATATATAGTATAATTAAACTATTATGTTATTAAATTTGTCATATTATATATAACTTGATTATACAATATGTTATGTTCATCAATTTGGCATACTATATTTATTATTTATTAATTAAAATGTTATATACTTATATATTTGATTATTGATGACATTTGGAAAAAAAAAACTATCCAAACATATTATACATATATAAAAATAATAATAATAATAATATTTTATTATTGATTACCATTAAAAAAAAATTCATCCAAAGTGAACCAAACATAATATAAAAAAGAAAAAAATGAAAAAATATAAACCTTAATGCGACTCGAACTAAGGACCTTAAAGTCAAAAGAATTGCATTTTTAACACTAAACCATAGAAAATCTTTAATAAACTTAGCACCATATAAATATATATAATAATGTATAACATGCTTTCGAACATAAACGAACGAATAAGTGAACAGGGTGTTCGCGAACGGATGAATTATTAGAACACAATTATGTTCGCGAACATAATCAAATAAACACCCCTTGTTCGAACTTGAATCGAATATTTTATTGAACGAATATCGAACTGTTTACGAACCGTTTGTTATTGAGTCGAATCGAGTTGTTATTGAACGAATATCGAACGGTTTGTAAACAACTCGATTCGTTTGTAACCCTATGTTAGATCCTTTGCTCTTTTATCATGGTTAGGATAAGAAAATATTGTTGATATAAAGGATAGGTAAGGTAGTTTTATTAATGGTGAAATTTGGCACGTATTTAATCGTAAAACCGTTTTGCAAGTCGTGATAGTTGAGGCCTCAACCGTCACGTATTAACTCTCAAAGCAAATAACCGTCATCTTCCATCATCATCTCCTACAACCTCAAACCAATCCTCAGTATTTACCAAATTAAACCTTCATAAAAATGACAAAGACAAAGAGATCCTCCGTTTTGCAGAAGAGACTTCAAAAACTCGAATCCGAACTCAGCATAGTCTTCTCTCTCCCATCCCAGTCCTCACAAGATCATCTCAAAATTTCTGAATATATTCAGAAAAGATTCCAGTTCCTAAGAAAACTTTTATCTGCCGAGATCGCATCGCATCCCAAAAAGCCCTACAACTTGCACAACATTACTCGCAGGCTCACAGAACTCGAAACTGCATTCACCCAATGGGAGAACTCCAATTCCATAGCCTTAACATTTCATCACGAAGATTTCGAGCCCGTTTCAACTTGCTCTTGCAGCGAGTCATTTGTCAATGATGACGATGACGCCTCTCCTCCTGAACTGACAGAGAAGTTTTACGAAGAATTGGTGGAAGAAAAGGTGCATAGCATGGATCACGAGTCGTGGGTAAATGAGGGTCGTCAAGAAGAGGGTTCTGGTGAGTTGGGATGGCCGGGTTTTGAAGAGGCGAAGAATTTTTTCGAAGGATTGAAAGATGAGAAGGATTTTAGTGAGAAAGGAGTGAAGAGAGAAAAGAGAAGAGGGTGGGGTTGGAAATACGGTAGCGTTTTGGCTGCTGGGCTGGTGCTTGGAACGGCTTTGATATTGGGTTTGGCCGTGGTAAGCTTTTCTAGTTGTTTTCGTAACGTGAAGCACAATAGTTTGCTTATGCCAACTTAATTAGAGTTTTTAAGGCGGTAATTACAAGTGCTTTTGACCGGTTAAAGTTACCTAAAGTGCTTTTTAATACTTCTCCTATGTAGAAGTAAAT